AGCAGTAGCAGTTGCAGTGGCAGTAGTAGGAGTAGTAGGAGTAGTAGGAGTAGTAAAGTAGGAGTAGTAGGAGTAGCGGTCGGAGTAGGAGTAGGAGTAGTAGGAGTGGTAGTTGTGGTAGTGGTAGTGGTAGTGGTAGTGGTAGTGGTAGTGGTGGTGGTAGTGGTAGTGGTGCTGGTGGTGGTGCTGGTGGTGGTAGTAGTCGTGGTGGTAGTAGTAGTAGTAGTAGTCGTCGTCGTCGTTGTCGTAGTAGTAGTAGTAGTAGTAGTAGTGGTAGTAGTAGTAGTAGTAGTAGTAGTATCAGCAGCAGCAGCACCAGCAGGAGCAGCAGCTGCGTAGCAGTAGGCCTGGGCGTAAGAGCCGGAGGTTTGAGTTGGTGTTGATGCGAACGTCTTTTGGTACATCGTAGACTTGGGTGTGCGCCTGTTGCTCATGCACTCGCTGCATCGGCGATGTCGACAGCAGAGGGCCAGCAAAACTTGGTTCCTGTAGCTGCTGTAGCTGTTGGCAAAGTGCAAGGTCCCACTATGCAAAGGGGAGGCACTCAACCGATGCTGATCCACCAGACACGTGTGTGCTCCAAGATGTGCAAAGTCAGCGAAGTGGTTTGTGTTTGTGAGACTTCAGCTGGCTTGTGCAACTGCCTCTGCCGACGGAAGGCTTGGCTTGGTATTGGCAGGCAGCTAAGCTTTGAGCTTTGTCGTACAGGCTAAAGGGAGCTTGGGGAGAGTTTGATGCATTCCTATAAACCCTAGCTCCTGAGGCGCAAGCCGCAACTCCTCCCCAACACATCTTGGCTGTCCTTCCATGGCACAATCTCCGAAGCGGGCTTTGTGCACTCCGTCAGGGGTTGCCCTGTGTGTTTCTGCAGCTTGAACCCTGAAGCCGAACCCGTCCCCACATTGTAACATAGGCGCTTTACATGGCGAGAACGGGGTTTTGCTTTGTATTATACACTGAGTAGCTCAGAGAGTATGAGGGGATGTAAACAGATGGTTACAAATCGACAGATAAGTAAAGAAGCAAATGAATATATTCTGACTTGTTGTTTCTGTACTTGTTTATTCATTTGTTGTGCATGCGCACACTCGTTTGCTTACTTGTTAAGTCGTTCCTGGTTCTTTATTGCTCGGTACTCCGACCCCCATATTACCCTCAGCCGTCCAGTTTTCTCGAACAGCTTCTCGGGTGCTTTTCAGTTAAGGCTTCACAGGCCTAAACGGCCCTGAACGGTTCCTACAGGAGCCCTGGAGCCTAAAATTGCCCTTAAATTCCTCAACGTCCCCCAAGCTTCACGGGTTTCGGGATATGGGTAGGCGGATTTGAGCTTTCCTTTGAAAAGGAGAGGATTTGGGGCCTGATCTCCCGTGTTTTCTCCACGGCTTTTGACTTCCTTGACTTCCTTTACTGCGAGATATGGTAGAGTGAGCCAAGATAAGCCATAAGGCTTCCCAGAGCCGCTTGCATTGCGAAACGTGTCGTACACTCCGCCGTGAAGATGCAAACCCCCCAATCTTTCACGATTTCAATGTGTTTCCACGCGCCGAATCTTGTAATATTTCGAAATGGGTATCCCTAGCGGTTTACCAAGGTTTCATAAGGATGTTTTGTTTTGTTTGGTACGGGTTTCCGCAACCCTAATCCGATGAACGACCTGTGGGCCAACCCGTTCGGTCAGCGTCAGCGACCTTTCAAATTGTCTAACTTGTTGGCGCGGGGCCACCTGGCGACATGTCGAGGACAGCAAGGCCTGCGGCAAAGGGAACTGGGGGTTTCGAGCATGACCGGTCCCTTTAGGGGCTCTGAGGTAGTTTACATCTGAGTCTGAGAGGTGCACGGCACCTTGTCTGAGAGAAAGAGCTCTTCAAGAACTCGACCTAACTTCTAAACCCTAAAACCCCAAGTCCCAAACAGTCCGAGATTTGGACAACTCAAGATTTTTTTTGCTGCCAGCCTTAACCCTATCCCAGACCAAATGAAAATTGATAACTTCCACATCAGCGGGTTTTGGTGGGGGAATGACGACCAAACCCATTGATGGAGGCTATAGTCGGAAGGTTGAGGCTTAATGTTGAATTTGGTGTACCCTACGCCTAGGAAGCCACATCTGTAGCACTCTTTGATATGAGCTACTGGTATATTCCGTAGACATAGGGGCTGCAGGTTGGGTTTGCGGAATTCGTGCCGACTGCCTGAGATGTCGACAGTCTGGTGGCTGCGCCCAGTGGGTTGACACAGCTCGGGAGCACAGCCAGACCATTTAGACTCCAGTGCGTGTAAGGTGTTACCGTTTAGGGTCTAGTCTGAGGGCAGGGTTGGCTTGTATAGGATTCTTCAAAGCAGATGGCCTTCTTGCGACATACATGCCGTTCACGGAATCGTTTTTTGCCCCGGTCGGTCACCGGAGATCCGTCTCCGCTTGGCTGTGGCCTTGTTCGGGTTTGAGGTCTGGGGGCAAGGCTATGCAAGGATGTGAAGGTTAGCTGGGTGGTTAGTGCAAGTTGCAGTCCTGCGAAGAAGCCTATAAATAATCTAAGTACAGGCCGAAACCACAACCCCGAAGCCCTGGCTCTAGAACTTGCAGCTCGCGTCCGAAGGTTGACCACACATTGATTTGCGGGCCCAGGGAGGTTCGGGCTTGGAGGCAGCTCATTTCCGATTTTGCATCTCATTCCCAAAAAACACGACTAGGCTCTGGGCCAGCAGAGAAGGGTACAAGCAAGGGCAGCTCTGAGATGTTCAGCCTGCTAGAGAAGTTTGCATGCAGCAACACTTCCGCGATCTTCTGAGAAGTTTCCAAGGGGCCTTCTAGTCTCACCCGCGTGAGTAGCGCGGCTTGGTCCCCAAGGCTCCAAGTATCCACAAAGCTACCCACCCAAAATCTTAGCGCAGGCCCTAGCTCCCCTAGCCTGTGGATGGCACCTACTTGGGCTGATTTGAGCCCCAGGAAATCTGACACCATCGCCAGCGACAGGGCGAGCCCGGCAGTTGAAAAGAAGCGATGCTTCTGCAGCATCGTATTTTTTGGGCATTAAGGATCACCGGCGTAATTTGCATGTTCAATAAAGGGTGACGGACTTCGCGGCTTACTTTGTTTAGAATGTTGCGATTAGTTTTAACAGAGTTTACGTTAGATGCTAAGGTGTCAGGTTTGCTGCACCCTTCCGGCCAGAAGTTCACAGCCCCGAGGCAGAAAAAGGCTCTGGTTTTCGAAGAATTGAGGTGTCTCACATAAAAGTTTTGTCCCAAGCCCGATATTCCATAGCTGTCATCTGGGTGGTAGTAGCCCATGGAACACTACCTGAAAGCCGGTTGTAAAGAAAGGCTATCTCTCCAACGTTAAGTTGTGTCCCTCGATGTATCATCGAAACCGCAAGCACTAAACCCCCTTATATAACTTGGTCCCCCTAAAACCTAAACACTATACTTTAAGGTAACCCTTGAACCTCATACGCAATCCTATACACAACTTATACAGTAACTTATGCATTATCCCTTTGCCTTCAGTCCCTCAACCAAGAGGCCCTCCGATTCTTCCTGCGCCGCTGCCCTTCTCTCCGATCTGCGGAAGTGACAGAACCGGGGCTGGCCCATGGGACTCGCAGAGTGGGTTTTACAGGGTTCCTCTCAGGGGTTCTATAGTGTGCTATCAGGATACTAAAGGGGTTTCGGGTTTGTGGGCGTTGTGCATACGGGTCTCGGGTCTCCAAGATTGACAGGCTGGTTTAGGGTTGTGGTGATTTGTGTAACAGGGTTGCAGGATCAATGGTCGTGACCTTACTATAGTACAGCATGTAATAGTGGTTTTAGTAAGAACTCCAATATATTGTTCTTTAGGGTTCCTGGGTTCCCTCTGATACTTATAAGGACTTCGAGCTCCAGGGTTTTGATCGGTTCTTGGAGTGTAGACGCCCTGGGTGCCGTGATGCTGAGACGGTGTCTCCCGGACGCTCATGCAGGAACCCTTCCAAGTACTGCAGCGGATGCAGGCGAGTTTTGGATTTGCCTGAACACCTCTCCGTTGCCCCGGCAGAGCCTTCGGCGGCTGAACCTTTTGGCCTTGCATCCCAAGCCCTAAACATCCTAAATCCCTAAACCCTTTCTTCTGGCGCTGAGTCCGAGGTGAGTGGAGCCTGCTCAGGCTTGGCATCTTGTTCAAAGCTCCGTGCCCTGAAGCTGCTGGGCCGCAGAGGACATATAGGGGTCTCAATATGTTCGTTCTTTCGTGATGTCCAACTGATGTACTGTATCTGAACCCACGTATTTTACTATAGCCCAAAACCCTTGTCTGACATAGTTGTTGTTATGTTTCGGCCCCTAGAGTAGCGTAGCCATGGGAACACCGGAAGACAATGTTTGAAAAAGGCAAACCAGTAAAGCAAGCATCCTCCGACCTAACTCTAGCTTTCGATCGGCCTCAACCCTGCAGTGTGCCCGGGTAGGTTGAGCTTGTCCCTGGTACCGAACATCGTGAACCTGGGACAGGTGGGCATTCTGTAGAGTCAGGATCGTGAACGGCCCGATTCTTCGGTGTAGACTAGAGGGATTCGGTTTGGGCTTGCCTGTTTTCCATTGCGATGTGTTGATCATGGTTTTGTGTGGCATGAGGCCTTGTATTGCGTGTTGTTGCAGTTGCTGATCCTGCCGTGGCATTTGAGGTGTTGGAAGCAGGCCGTAGCCTTTGCTACAGTTGAATTGTTGAAAACCATTCGGAGCTGCACCAGAGTCACCAGAGTCAAGACAAATCGCCATGCTTCGATCAGATCAAGCACTTATCCCCAAGCCCAAGCCCAGCCCAGAATTACCGAAGCCTGAACCAGAAAGACCCTTTGCCGCAATCCCTGAACTCAACAGGCCCAAACACCGTCTTAGTGTTCCCTTACTGTCATTGTAGGCGTGTTTTGAGGGTCTGGGGTTTACAGAAGCATGCGGTCGTTGTGCAATGGGCAATGCCTACGGAGTTTTAGGTATTTTTTGAGGGCCTCAACATTTTTGGATTTCCGGGGCTTCAGGGTTTAAGTGCGGATTCCCTTCGTGCTCCGGCCCTGACCATGCCGTCGGGTTTTGGGACTCTTGGTCCAAGACGGACAATCCAAGCCTCCATCTACGGTGTAGGGTTTAGAGGGGACTAGGCATCACCGCAGCCGCCGACCGTAAATCTCACATGCAAATCCAGGGTTCCTCTGGGAGCTGCAGACACGAAACTCCTCAAACCCGAATCCCTGAACCGCAAGCCTTCAAGATAAACTCGATGAAGTGTGAGCTTCAATCTACGAACTTGCTGGGCTGAATCCTGAATCCGAGCATTTTTTCACCCCCGAGTCCTGGAGCTCTGAACCAGCCCTGCAATCCACCGAAAGCCAAAAACACCACCCAACTGGGCATGGCGGTTCGGCCAGGTGTTGAAATCCTGCAAGCAACTCAGGGCAGGTCCCTCAGTTGTGGGGTTTTGCGAGTCTTGGTTTCTTGGAACATTATCTTAGCTGTCCGTCTGTAAGCTAAGCTTTTAGGGCCACGTTCTGGAGTCGAGGCTTCCTAGCCGAGAGCAGCTCGCCTCGGATGACTTCACAGTTTCGAAGTCCAATCGTAAGCACCCTCAGCTTAGACTCTTAGGCGCTTAGAGCGGTTTATGACTCAGCCCTGGACACATACCAACATTTGGGTGTACTAGTCATGGTAGTTTAGTATCGGGAAACTCTCTGAAACGAAGAACCTTGTAATCCGGCAGTGCCCTACATCCTAGAGCACAGAACTCGCAAATCCAACAACTAGCGGACTGTAAGACTGACCCACAAGTAGAAACACTTCAGTAGCCCCCGCAGAGGCCCCTTGGGCTACATTGTGCTTTTGGGTATCATGTCTCGAACCGCAAAATATGGTGAACGTAGCCTGGAACTACAGTGGAGAGCTCTTAAGGGAACCCGCAGACCAGGTCTTAGTGCTAACGAGCACCTCGGAGTACCAAGTGTCACTGCAATACCTGACGGAGGCATTCGCAGGGGATTCAAGGTTCAGGGTTTAGGGGATTGTGAGCTGCTCGGGTTTCAGGATTTCTTTTATTTCAGGTTCGGGGCTTTAGACTTTAGGCCTGTGCGACTGAGTGCGTTGGAGAGAGAGAGAGAGAGAGAGTTTCAGCTGCAACTGCTTCCCATGAAGAACAAGGGGGACCACGCCTATGCATTTCACTACTGCATGTTTTGATGCCCAACTGACCGTGGCCCCCCACCGTGTATATGCAACGGTGTCCTTGCATGCAGTCTTTTGAGGATCGATTCAGAGGGATCCCAAATGTTTGCCGTGTTTTTGCCTTCAGGTGAGTAATACTGATAGTCGATCTTCCACTGACTTCGATCCAACCGTAGTGAAGTACGTGTACTGTTTCCCCCGAAAGCCCCACAAACCGTGGGGGCCCCATGGGCCGGGGGCCTGACAAGCCCCTTTGACCTGAAGGCAGAAGAGAGAGAGCGAGAGGGTTGTAGGACTGGGCTTCAAGGTTCTATGCTTGATGTTGAGGAAAGCGCAAACTGACACCGACAGTTTGGCAGACAAGGTCGCATTCGCGTTCGTCGTGCTTCTGTGGAGATGGTGCTACTGCTAATCATGCGTAAGACTAAGAGAAACAAGCGAGAGCAGCAACTGCAACAGTACTGGTGAAGGTGAGACTACCAGCAAGGGCACCAACAAGAGGAATGTAGCTTTACCAGTGGGAAGGGCAGCGCCAAACCGTCTTTGCCGTATCTTGCTGTTGAGGTGCTATGTTGCTATTGTGGCTATTGAAGCTTTTCCTGTTGCTATTGCGCTGCTTCTAGTGGGCAGGTTTTGCTGTGCTAGCCTTTTACAATCGTCACAGCACGAGGAGCTTCCCCGTTCCTGCGGCATACGGGAGCTCTCTTTCCGACGCTGCTCTGCCACATGGAAAGACTTGGAGGCCTCAGCGTCAGCGATATCATTCGTGTTGATAGAAACCACGAGCGATGACTACCACAGTAGTTGACACGAGCTACTATGAGAAGACTGCTGTGCTGGTAAGGATGGTTTTGTATGGTGAAGGCGCTTATGCTGGTGACGGGTGACGGCTAGTTCTAGAACTCGAGTCACGTGGGCTGGCATGCACGGGCAGTGCAGCAGCGGATGTTCTGTACACTTCTGCCGTATGTCCTGTGGGGGCAAAAACTTGAAGAGTTCGGCACTGTTTAGGCTTACACAGGATAGGGACGCTACGGCTCTTGGGTACTTTTCCAGCTTCAGACACCAGAAAAAGCAAGACCCAGACGAAGAATCAAGCACATAAGAGAAGCCGAAACAAGCACAAGCAGAAAAGTAACCAAGAACTCGGAACCCTCGAATGTGCATAGTACAGTGTATCATTGGAAGCTGCATCTGGGACTTCCCAAACAAGGCTTGTTTGTGTTTCAGTTGGTGTGTTTATCCTGTGCAGACTTCACAGCTGCGAGATTCTGGTTGGCTTTATTCAGAGTTTGTTTGGCGAGTGCCAGGTGGCTGTTCGTGCAGAAGAAAACCCTACATCAGCGGAAGTCAAAGAGGTCGTTTGAGTCCAAAGTCTGCGAATTCGCCCAGGTGCTGTGCAAGGCATGCCCCCGGCTTCAAGAGTTGCGTTTGCCCGGGCCATGCTTTCCTGAGAGATAGGCTTGGCGAGGGGATTACATCACTGCAAGGCGGCTTATGGTTGCTACAGACAGAGTTGCGTGACGATTGGAACTTGGCTTCGACGCGAAGCTCGGAATTCGGAAGTCCTCGCCATGGCCCATGCCCGAAAGTCCACAAACTCCGATGGCTGATGACAGAGAGGTCTTTTGTAACCCAAGCACTGCCCAGACCGAGGCCCAAGGGATACATCGATGCCGGGGGCCCGCTAAGCCCTCCGCCGCTAGTGCCTTTGGGCCGTTTGAAGCAGCCCCTGGCTGGCAAGCAAGTCGGGTTCAGGATCTTCACATATCTTCAGTGTTTTTTGGAGTCCGAAGGCGAAACAGCAAGTAATGCTGTCTGGGCGCATGGTGCGCAGGGCACCGAGCGCAAGATGCCAATTTCGAAGGAGCTTGTCATACTTGGACATGGGCTTTCTGGAACATCGTTCAGGATGTTCAGGACTATCGGAACATGGGGGGTGAGCTTTAGCAGTTTCGGCGTCAGGCTCCCGCGCCAGACTTGAGTCCGGTAGCAAACAAAAGGCTCCCCGGTTTGCACGAGGCTCGGTTTCTGGAAGGGCAGCAGTCACCTTCTCCTTCTGGGTCCCATATGTGCACCAGAAGTTCTTCGAGTCAAGAACGTGTTTTTTCATGTCAGGTTGTCATGTCGTGATGGTACGACAAGGGCTGAACCCTGAGCCAGCGAGGTTGCGGGCTGTGGACCTTCGCGGCCATAGCCGGGCTCAGAAAGCCAAGTGTTGGCTGACTGATGATATGCCCCGCGCTTGGACAAAGCAGATCGACATGTGTTGGTTCCCTCCGCACCCGAATGTGCATCGTCGTCCTAGCTTTCATGTCGGCTTTCGCGTTGTTCCTGCTGGGCTACCCAAAACCAATGAAACCCAGATCTGTGTTTGTAGCAGTGTGTTGCAACCGAATATGTATGCATGTCGATCATGCATGCACGTGCGCACGTAGGTAATGTATGTATTTGTCTCTGTAGGTATGCATATTTTTATGTATGCCTGTATGTATGTATGTATGTATGTATGTATGCATGTATGTATGCTCTGGCTACGGCTCAAGCTTCGTGGCTTGTGAGGCACCAGCATGCCCAATAATTTTCACTAGCTAATGCCAACCGCCAATGACGTCGCCGTGGTGGTGGTGTCCGGATTGGTTCAAACAGTGGTATTTTGCAAAGCTTTGCATTGGTGTTTCGTTCGTTTGCCTCAGCTGAAGACATCAGTTTGCGGCTCTTGGTTGCAGAGGGGAGACCAAGCGGACATAACACCAGAACATGCGATGGAAGAAAAGATGGTGAAGAAAAAATGCGCGAGCTGCAGGTCCGGATGTGGACCACCTATTTTCAAGTGGTCACCGTCGTATTGAGTATAAGTCTTCTTGGTTCAAGCCTTAACATATTGAGGGGCAGACAGCGATGGACGACACCGGCCCTTGACTGGTCTAGAATTGGTTTTTTCGTCTTGGCTGCAGTACCAATGCTGTCTCCAAAGATTCTGTCCATGAGGCATGCAATGGATCTGTGCGCCGTTGTGATTTTCGTGTTCCCGCTTGTGGCAACGTCGCGCGCCGGCTCTTCATCGGACCAGCTGTTGTTTATGATGACTTCGGTCTATGTAACAGTACAAATTCCGACTGCTTGCATGGCCTCCAATATCTGGTGGGTTATCATCGCCAACCTGGGCATGGTAGTTGGCTTACTATTGAGAGCTCCATATAGTGACAGCTTCGACCCTGGGCAGTGCCTCCATGAATCCACGATGACTCTGGTTTGGCTGGAGATTTGCTTCGGCGTCAGCTGTGTAATCATAGCCAGGGGAACCCAGGCCTTTCTGAAGATGAATGAGCGGCAGCGGATTCGCTACAAACGAGCAACTACGGAGCTTGATGCTGCCACGTCCCTGTTACAACTGACTTGCGATGCAGTTGTTGAGCTCGACGAGGACCTGTGTCTCAAGGACCATTCCAAGGAGTTGGCGGGGATTTTGCTGAGAAAGCCGGATTCCTCGCTGGCAGGCCGCAGCTTTATGGAGTTTGTCGCCAGCTCTCCCGAAAAGGTTAGCGTGCGTCAGAAGCTCTCGGATTCAGCATGTGGCGCAGAGCGTGTCAACGAATCTTTCGCAAATGCGTTTCATACCCGTTTGGTGGACAGTTGCTGCAGCAAGTTTCGCACAGAGGTGTTCCATGTGAGCTTTCGACGGGAGGATGGCGAGCAGTGTCATCTGGTTGGATTGCGAGATTTCACAGACCAGGAGTCCTTGGCAAGGGCTCATGCAAACCGTGACGGGGACGCCAGAAAGCGACATGGGCGCTTTACCTCTGTGGATGTACGCCCGCAGTCTCCGAGGAGCTCCGATCCCAATGAGGTCTCAAGGAGTCATACAATTTCTATGATCTTTGACATGGACAGCCAAATGGTGGATGCGGCTTCACCTCCGGTATGTAGCCTCATCGGCCTGAGTTTGCCGGAGCTGTTTCCAGATTCGGGCCACGAGGTATTTCAGACCGTCTGGTCCAGCGTGGCACCGTACCTCCAAACGGAAGGAATGGAAGCAGTCGCACACGTGTTACATCGCTTCGATGGATTGCTGGTACGATGGGGTCCTTCATTAAATGAACACATCGACGGCACGGTGGAGTTGATTCAATTGCAGAGGGGTGGCTCCTGCGACTACCGCTTGCTACTCAAATGTCGTGGAAGCCCTGTGGGTCTCTCATCAACTTTACCTTCAAACCCGGGACAGAGCATTGGCGTTCTGCCCGGCACACCTTTGTTTGAGCGCGGCTCCTTTTTGAACGCTTCATGCGAGAACTCTGGTGGTGCAAGAACCTAACGGACTGGAGCGATTGCTGGTACCTTTAGGGTTGGGCTTTCGGTTCCTGGGTGTTTTCTTGAGTGGGCGGTAGTCCTTGTTTCACATCCTCAGCGCTAGCTGCTTACTTGGAGGCCTCTCAAGGCCCGCTGTTGTTTTCCCCGCCTAGCCTGGATGCCCTCGGCGTTTGGTTTGTTCTTACTGTCTATTTCGTTGGGTTCGAGGCAGAAGGGCAAGGCTGGCCACCGTGTAGATCACAGTCGTTCTCTCTAGTCCTGGGTGTCCCTTCTTCTCTAGTCCTGGATGTCCCTTCTGTGGGCAATTTGAATGGTAAGGGTCTTAGATCCTGGTGTGCTGATGGGGTTTTGTCTTTCTGAGGGACGTTCAGTCCTGTTTCACGCCGACCTCGCACTGTGAACCTCGCCTGGCTTGTCCGAGTTGTGAGAGCGTATGCTGCCTGTACATGTGCATCGTTGAACGTACGCGCGTGAATATTACACGATTTCTGAGATGATATGATATGATATCAAAGGACATCATGTGACCCGTATGCGTGGATGGACGGACGGACGGATGGATGGATGCATGGATAAGCACGTAGATCGACAGACCGATGTATGGATCGAAATGCCGATCGGTAGATCGATAGATCGACAAATAGAGATACATAGATGCACGGATGGGCAGGTAAGTAGATAAATGGGTATAGGTACAGGTATGAACTTTGATATCGATCCAGATAGATGTAGACATATTTGCTATGATACTTTTATTTATAGATACAGGTGTATATATCGAGATAGGTAGATAGATAGATCGATGGATAGTTAGATAGACAGATAGATAGATAGGTAAGGTTCGACTAGATTAGATAAGATCAGGTCAGGTTAGACCAGACTAGAGAGCTGGATAGTTCGATAGATAGATAGATCGATCGATAGATAGGCAGATAAGAGGTAGATAGATAATGACAGAGCAGCACCTCACTGTCTGCGAGGTTTGGGATCCTCGCACAGGTGCGTCATCTTCGTGCCTTGGGCCATGAAAGAACCTTCCCCGTTTCGGAGTCCAGATGCACACAAATTTTGTTGCTCCCTTTAGGGCCGTTAAGCTGAAGCAGGCTAAGACCAAAAGTCCTAAAGCCTAGCTCTGTAACCTGGACCCTCAACCGTATGTAGATTGCTGGGCTTCTTGGGGCTCTGATGTTCTCGGCATCGCAGCATCGAGAACGGTTTGCGAAAGGTTTCAGGGTTGGGGTGGCCCTGTGCTGTATATCAGGTCCTCACGGCACGCATTGAATTTCGAGTCCAGACCCTAAGTCAAAACAGCCATTACAAGAACTACTTCAGAAGACTGTGTAGTCCATGCTGGTGTAGACAGGCAAAGCATGGCAAAGCACAACTACAACATTTCCTCGAGAAAAGGTTGGGCCTATTCCTTAGGGCCTTAGGGTTCCTTGTTAATTATGACCCCGCCCCAAAAAAAGCTATTGAAATTCTCAAGTCCCCTGTACAAGTTCTGGACCGGTTTTGCTACCCTTCAGCCGCTGCAAGGCGAAGTCCGTGCTGACCACCAGCGTCTTCTCTCTGATCGTTGCTGCTGGTTCTTACGCAAGGTCCTCAGTAACATATGTGCCCCATGGGTCTGAAAAACGTGTATTGGTCACAGTGCACCCCTTTGCACTTATCGTCCTTAGACACTCAGAGTCTAGTTTTCCGTAGCTTCCTCCCCGAAACCGATTGTAGCGAGTACGGGTATTTGGTGCCATCGCCGGCGCCCCAGAGTTTTCACTTGGGGTTGTATAAGATCCCCATCCCCGCGCCTCAGTGCTTAGTCTGAGCATGTCCCTGCTTGGCTTTTCAAGAGTTTTCGGTGAAAAAACGAAGACAAAAAATAACAAAAGCGATAACGCCATAACTATGGCAAGGGGCCAAAACTCAAAACGATGCATTTCCAGTACTACAGTTGCACTACAACCAAGCATAATCCAGCCAAAACGATGCTAAAGTTGTACCAAACAAAACACAATCCAGCCGGGACCCCAAACGAGGTGAGGCATTTCCAGTACTAAAGTTGTACCTAACATCAAGATTATTGGTTGTAGTTCGGTGACAAGAAAAGCAACGACAACCCCATTCCGGAATAGGGAGATTTATGAGGTGTTAGTTTACAGCCACTTGTTATCAACTCTGATATGGGTTTCCTGAGCTTTGAGTTCTTATCTGAGGGGCAAGAATTTCGACTGTCGAATGTATGCACTTAGGGTCAATCTGTGGGTCTATGACATTACGTCCAGGGGCCCCTGGATCAAGGTATCGCACCAGAGCTGTGCAGTAGTAGGACCATGGTCTATACAAGTAGTGTTCATGCAGGACTACACAAGGCTTGATTCGGTCCTGGTGCTTCCATTGCTGAGCTACCATATAACGACTCATGCCGCTAAACCGCAACGAACCGAGGACGGCATTGCTTTCGACTTCGCGTCCTGCACCTTTCCGGATGCCGTGCAATGTGCGGCATGGCAAGCATGCAGCATCCTAGCTGAGTGCCCAAATCTGCGGCTGAAAGCGTGGACTCCCCGGATGTCGTCGCGAAAGCCAGGGGCGAGGGTAGTTTTCCTCATCGGACGATGCCGGTGAAGTTCTCTCACGAAGACAGGCCAACTCGCCAGTCGCAAAGATAGCTGCGCCTGAAAGAAAGCACTACCCCAAGGTGGGGAGAGTGTCTTCGGCCTGCTCCACATGTGCGATGGCCGGGTGCTCAGATTGGCTCAGATGTCGGCAGAGATAGGTCGGAGTTGTGCGCTAGACCATAACAGCCCAGCTGTCTGAAGAGAGCTTGCGCCACTTTGTGCTGTTTAACCCCCATGATGTTGATGTAGTATGGCGCAGTGGAGTCCTGCTGAAATGCATCGTGAAAAATGCACAACTTTCATTCACAGGCGCCCTGGACCCTAAACTCTAAACCCGTCACGTGTCAGAAGATACGAGGATTCTCTGCAGCTCGCTGGCCCAAAACGTCAAAGGTTGTTTGAAGTTAAGTTATAGTTGCCCAGAGCCCATGACGGTGGATGTGCAACACGATGTTCAGAACGTCGCGCAAGCCCCTGCAAAAGGCTACATGAGCGATTTGAAGGCTTTTCTGAGGCCTGGCATCGGTAGGAGTCTGTGATACTCAGATGCTCTGATTCTTTGCAAGGTTGAGCCAGAAAAAGGATCGGTTTTGGGGGCTCGTAAGCGAAATTCTATAGAAGTCCGACCGAATCAGAACCTAAAGCAGTTTCGTTTTGGCCTGTGATCGGCGCGTCAGTCTGCAGGCTGACTTGGCCTCTCCTGCTCGGCAACACACTCGAATGGTACGAGTTCGGTGTGTGCCTTTGGCTCCAATTTGGCTAACATGTTTAGGTTCTATAAGGGGGTTAAGGCAGCGTTGCTAGTAGCATTGCAATTTCTGTATCATGTCGGATTTCCTTCATGTTTTACAGGGTTTGCTTAGGGGGGACGTAATTTATATACACATATGCATATGTATGCAAGTGCATGTATGCAACATATATATGTATGTATGTATGTATGTATGTATGTATGTATGTATGTATGTATGTATAGAGAGAGAGAGAGACACACACACACACGCATATATACATATGTATATATATATATACACATATGTCTATATATATATATGTATCTATATATATATATGTATATATATATACATATATATATATACATATACGCATGCATGTATGTATGCATGCATGTATGTATGTATTTATGTATGTGCGTATATATATATATATATATAGATGCGCAGCACACACCCCCTAAGCGAATGTTTTAAAGTGGATCATGGAGGTGGGGACACCTGTTGTTTGCCAAAGCATCGGCAGGGAGCGCAAATCCCGCATTTCCTGAAGCTTGACATGCGTTTGTTGGGCAGGGATCAAACGTTCGTAGTTAGGGTTCCCTCAATCTGCGTCTCTATCGCTGGGAATTTGGGGAGCTGTTGATCGCTGACAAGGTTTTTTTGGCATGTCAGACTGTAGGAGTTTGCTTGTCGTTGAGCCTGGCCATTTTTGGCAACGTCAGATGCGAACACATCCGCTGGGATAAGACATCTACAAAATTCCTGAAGATTGAAATGCGAAAGCCTCCCGCCAACTACAGCTATGGCTATGGTGACGTGTCTCTGAATACCGCCAGTACATGGGGGTAGTATTTTGGTCGTGTTGTCCGGTGCCCCCGTGGCTTGCCGGTGGTTTCCTGGTGGTCTTTCGATGATTTCGTGCTGATCTCCTGGTGGTCTCCTCGTGGT